CTTAAGGCATAGCGTGTTTTAACAAAAATTTTTAAGCCATTTAAAAATTCTACTGCAAACTAAATGCAAGCCGTCTTAGCTCAGCTGGTAGAGCGCGTGGCTTTTAACCACGTGGTCGTGGGTTCGATTCCCACAGACGGCGTAGTTGACTTGCTTCTTTTTTTTCTTTCTCTTTTTCTATATAAGTTTGTGTAAGACACTGAAATAAAATAAGGTTCACTTGGTCCTCTACGGCATAGAGAATAGAGATCCTATGTTGTCAATATTCTGTTTCTGGCAAATACTTACACATACTTATCTTTAAGTCTTTAACTAACATTAATCTATTATCATTTATATAATTTTTTTTCTAAATAATTTGTTATTTATACCTATTTTGATTATATTTCTATCATGAATTATGGTTTATTTATTGTTAATACTTAATAGAACTATTTAAAAAATGTTTATTTTTTTATATGAATTTATTTATTTGTTTTTATAAAGTGTGTTTAGCTAAAAACTAATTCAATCAAAAACATTCCAAACTAATTGAGATGAGTTTGAATCGGTTTGATTTCTCAATCAAAACCAAAACAATTCAATCCATGAATACTTCTAATTTTCTCAATGTCCCTTATACCCCCCGCCCCGCCCCCCCCCCCCCCCCCCCCCCCCCTCCCGACTGCTGGTATTAAATTAGAAATAAAAATGGTATAAAAAATTAGATCCTTTTTGCTTTAACAAAAATTGTTTAAGGCATATCATGTTTTTTTTTTTTTTTTTGTCAAATATTTAGTTAATAATACTTTAAAAAGTTTATGACATCCGTTTTGTATTGCAAGCGGTTGTATAAAATTTGGAAAGTCTACATCAATTAGTTTTACAATAGTAGGTGTGGACGTGTGGTGACCTCAAGCAACGAAGTTGCTGGATGATAGTTTTTTATTTTTATTTTTTTTCAACCTATTCATTGATTATCGTTTCGAACACTATCAAATTTATATAAAGGGCCGCTCTCCTGAGATCATTTTTTCTATTCAGGCAACTCGAATTTGAAAGCTTTGGTTAAGTGGAACAAAATTCTTACCAATTGAAGCAATGGTTATGCTCACTAGTAATATGAAGATTGATAACCATTGAAGTAGCAAGAAGAAAAATGTATTAAAGCAACATAATAATATCCACTCAATGAACGGATCAATGTAGTAAAGCAACAGAGGTACGGAGTAATGCCACTACACTAGTAGAACAAATAAAAGTACAATAGTTCTGGTAATTTTCTCAAGTTATATAGAACTTGTAGGAGGCGTTTGGTACGCGGGATTCTTCAAGAATTTCGGTAAATTGAATTTTTTTAAATTTTAAATTTACGGATATTATCATAAACTGAATGTAAAATTCATATTTTTAAAAATTGAGATTCTCGGTTAAAAAAAAATTTCTCTTGTACCAAACGTCCCCCTAGTTCAACTTTCAAGTTAAACGACCGCAACGGGCTATGCAGCGGTATACAACTTCACAATTGCAGACAGATGGAGCTACACAGTCAGACTAACACCATCCTGTCCAAATAACCACAATGTCAGGACAATTATGCAGCAAATCACAATATCCACTCGAGGAAGGTGTAAATGGACCAGACAGCCTACCAAGGACACAGAGTCTGCTCTGCCTTAGGACTGACCTGCTCTAATTTTTAAATAGAGCAGGTTTAAACTTTTAAAAAAATCCATTTAAAAATTATGATATAGACCCATTTTAAAATGCCTGGTCTAAAAACTTGCAAACTATCCTTTTAATTTTTTTAATAATATAATATTTGTTCACTTAAAGACATATTTTGAAACCATGGTTTATAACACTAATTTTCAAAGTAATAGATTGATGTTATTTTAACAAATAATAAATATTTATTTAAAATTTAAAAATAATATTAAATTAAATTAGTAAAGAAAGTGCAAATTATATGTATATATACATATATGAAATTTTCATGCGATCTTCAAAAACATTATTTCATGCGTTGTTAATGAAAATATTATTTCATGTGAATTTTGTGAATAAGAAATTTTATATTTTATATTTTAGTTTGATTTGGACTTATAAACTTGTAGTTTGCAACTTGATAAGCCGTGTTATGTTTTTTTAGTTTTTTATAATAAGTCAGGCCAGATCTATAAATCAAACATTTAATAGGATAGTATAGGTTCTAAATATTTTACATAAACTTAGACTATCAAAGCTAAAACCTAGTCTAATTTCACCCATTTACAATGCTAGGAATAACAATATTTATGTACTTGAATATACAACAAAAGAGAATTTTTACACTACAAATTTATAATTGAAACAGTGTATGGTTCGACCAACCAATAAGTACAAATCAGGTTCAGTATGAACCAAGAAATGTCTTCAAAGTAAACTTCCAAACTTTACTAAAGAACTAACTAAACTGTACCAATTCACAATATTACAAAATACACCAAAGTCAAGGCCATATTATGGCAGCAAGAAATATTTTATCAAATAAGCCTTTTTGGAATAAATATTCTGCTGCTTGTGAACCTTCGGGTACTGCCTTATTTAACGTTTGTTCAATTACTCTTTTACCCGCAAATGCAATGTAAGCGTTTGGTTCGGCAATAATGATATCCCCCAACATGCCAAAACAAGAAGGAAACGAAGATCAACCAAATATGGATCAATTTAACAGGATATTGCAGAATTACAATCCAGTATTAAACTTTAAGCACAGTATTGATCTAAGTTCAATAAATGATAAATATATCAAGAATCAAAACAATATCAGAATAACCAAAGCAATATTAAAAAGGATTTGATTTCAAATATAAAGTCAAACAGAGACCTTCACAAATCAGTTCAGCAAAAGTCCTTTACGAATGAGTTTAAACCACATTTCAACCATCAATTTTGCATTACTGCCACAGATTTACAAAGGAAGCAGTAAAAGATTAAAGATAGTGACAATTGACATGGCAATTTAACGAATTCACCCCTAATCTGGGCTACGTCTTGTACAAAGACCAACTAGGCTATTTAGGATTGGTTCCACTAATCTTTCAAAATCTTTACACACGAGTTCAAAAACAGTTAATGTATACAGGCTTGGAGCAACCAACAACTAGCCTCCAAGCCAGTGCTGCTATTTTCTGAGTGTTAAGCGCTATAAATAACTACTTTCTGGTGTAGCAGTTAGAAGCTTCCCGCCTTTTATCCCCTTTTCTTTTTCTGATGCACTTATATAAGCAGCTTTTGTACAGATGTATAATTCATTCTTTAGATAATGAAAGAAATTATTCGTAAGAGGGGTTGTCAGATAATTTTGCACCATTCTCAGCGCAAGCCTTTAATTTCAATTTTCGACAGTTGTCTGTATTTCCCAATTTTAATAGAGACAAATCAAACAGTGAATTGTGATCAGTTTATTTTTGTTGTCATATTCAAGTATTCAATCCATACCGGTATCTAAACAATGAGTTTGAAATTTTTGTTTGCTTTGCGTTTCAATCTAATGAGTCATTTTTAAGTGGCTCACCCTAGTGGGACGACAACATGGGCGGTAGTGTGGCAGCAGCAGCAGATGCAGCTGGGAAAGGAAGGAAGCAACCGGGAAAGGGAGCAAACAATTGGGAAAGGGAAAGAAAGGGGTAGTAAAGGTATAGTCTTCAATTATTAGAAGATGCTGAATTTCTTGCTTCTAAGCCAGTTGCTATTCCCATGGAATATAAGTCACAACTCAATGGTACCGATGGTGATCTTCTACCTGGGGATGCTGGTTTTTGTGTCTTTCTTGGGGATGCATTGATATCTTGGAAGCCCAAAAAACAAACAACTATCTCTAGATCTTCAGCTAAAGCTGAATATAGAGCACTGGCTGCCACTGCTGCAGAACTTTGTTGGCTGTCACAGTTGCTGCAGGACCTTGGCGTTTGCTTTCCACCTCCAGCTCTAATGTTTTGTGATAATCAAGTGACGGTCCACATTGTTTCTAATCCAACCTTCCATGAACGGATCAAGCACAATGAGATTGAGATAGACTGTCATTTTGTCCGTGATCAAGGTATCTTCTAGTTTTATTCGATTGATGTCTATTCGTTCTCAACATCAACTAGCTGATGTTTTCACCAGGCCTCTGCCATCCTCATCCCTGTTTTCTCTACTGTTCAAGATGTATGTGATTGATATACACATTCCATATCGAGGGGAAGTTTTATATTTAACCTTTAGTTACTTTATAACTAGTTTAGATAGGTTCCTATGTTTACTTTAGTTACTTTTCTGCTTTTAATGCTCTTTCTGATGTCAGCTTGTACTTACTGAATATTTGTACCTTCCTCTTCCTACGGTTTGTCTTGTTGCTCTTCCTTTTCTCTCTGACTTCTAATGGAGACTGACTCCATTCTGGTGTAAAATTATCATATATGCTTGAAGTGCTTTCTGAAATAGTGAGTGAATGAATGATTGTGGCATGTCATTAATGAAAGGGAGAGTGAGACGTATTTTTAGGTGAAGTGCGTGAGTCATGCTGTGGCTTTCATTATAGCAACTAAGGGAAAGAGAAACAAGTGTCTTCTTAGTCTTGTAGCACAAGGTTTCCATGATACTTGATTTTATGTGATGACAACAAACATTATGTATAGTAAATTTACTGAGTTCTTTATGAAACATGTGATTGCTTAATTTTATTTTAAGTTTTTGGTAATAGGTATTGCTTAATATTTAAAAGGACAAAAAGTTATGCCTAATCTGCCGTAAACTGCCCACATCAAACAGCTTCTTGTTTCACGGCTGCGGAATCAATCCTCATGAATGCGGATTCAATCCTTGTCCTCTGTTAAAATGAAATAGACAATAAGATTTTCCCCCTTGCCGTCCTATTATATTTTTTCTCCACCCATAAGGTTCTATTGGTTCACAGCGAGGATAGATGAGGAAAAGAATTGCAATGGATGTGAACATGAAATAATACGTTGTAAAATCACATCTTATGACGAAAAGCACAATTCAACAAATCTAGTCAATGGCGTCACTTTCATTCACAATGGGTTTTAGAGGATGGGAGAATGAGACTGGATATAGATACATTCATAGATTATACAATGAGATACATTCCAGAATTTTTGTAAAGTGCATTTTTCCCCTCAATTTACTCATAACTATGGTACAACCAAGAGCCGCCGGGTCAACATTGTCTTGTTCCAATTATTTATGTCCCTTAAGGATCGTGTCAAAATGGTCATTTTTCACCAAAATTCACAATGAAGGAGGTATTGGGGAGAGAGAGGAAGTGCTTCACCACACACTAAACCTCAACTACCTGGAAACTATCCAGTCATCTCAGGTCACGGGGATTAAGATGTAACTTTTGCTTTGGCCTTCCCTGCCAAGTACTTTCTATTCTCTTGCTTGTATCTTTTCCATTCTCTTAAAGCAGCTAGGAGGACATGCATTGAGACTGGTAGAAAAAATGGCTGCCACAGTAGAAGGAAAATAGACATGACAATCAGTAAACTTCAACTTGCTGCTTAAAATTGTGAGTGCATCTCAACTCAATTCCCATGAATTGGTCGTTGAGCTCATTTTTAGAGCTAGAGGGGCAGTAACAACAAACATTATGTGGTTGGCAAAGAAACAGATAAAATAATTTAGATCATATAAGAACAAAGAAAAGCCAATTCCGAATAAAAAGGATGGAGAGAACATTTTTCAAGCTTCCATCTGAGACATCTTTTATGGGCACCGTGGATCTTCCACCTCCTTAATATTCATTTCCCTCTTTTGTGGTAAGAAACTTATCAAATTAAACAGGAATTATGTTTTCATGGAAGGGAGATGCATAATCTGCATTCCCTAATTGTGAATGTCAAAAAGATAAAGATGATCTAGTCAATATGGTGGAATCATATAAAGGTCAAGTTTACCAATCCGCATAAGCCAGATTATAAACTATTAGTATTTAGGGAAGAAAGGACAAGAGTTAAAGGACAAACCGAATAGATGGCAAAACAATGCTCAAACGAATAATAGCTGATGGACATAATTGAAGGATGAAAAAAGGCATCCTCTGCCAGAGATCTTGATTCCCTTGATGATACTGACAAGAAAAAGATTAATCATATATTAGCAATAGACAACAGCCTGCAAATCTTCATCAAAGTCATTAACAAGCGTTTGAAATCAATGTAAAGTCAAAACAAAGCATACCAGCTGAAGCATCATATATTCCAACAGAAGCATTACTTTGAGCAAATTTTGCAGCCTCTAAAGAAAACTTCACCTGCTCAAACACCACAAAATATTGAGGAGGAAGAAAAGGGATTTCAAACCATCTTTTAAAAACAAAGAGGAAATAAGACTTTTATATCAAATAATCAGGCAGAAAGTGTTGCTGACCAAAATCTGAAATTAAACATCATAAATTTAAGATCTTCACAACTAAAGGCAAAAGGGAAAAAATGCATAAATCTACCTACAATAAATATTACAATATGCACTAAACCCAGAACCCTATTAGTAATAATATGATGGACATCATATTCCATGTTCAATAATATCATCCAATATAAGTTGGACAGCCAACACAAAGCATTTAGTCAAACAAATCACCTGCTTTCCAATTTCATCCATGATAATCATCCTAGGTAATGATTGTACCTGCATGGAATGGAAGTTTAACAAGCTTTCAACAAACAATAGCCAGCTGAAACAGACTCCGTTGAAGTGACTTAATTGACAAACATACCAATCTAGAAAGAGATCCAAGCGTTGTAGCACATGAAAGGAGATTAAAGCATATGTGCTTCCGTGACAAAACATCCAACTCCCTACATACAATCAACTCAGAAGAATTATTTCACAGCAGTTAAATTCCAAGGCAAATAAATAAATATAAACATAGGCCTCTGTCCGACATACACATAATAAAAATGTAAGGAAATTCCACTTATACCATCCTAAGCTAACTAAATGAGTAACTTTAATGGCTTCAACCAACACCATGAAGTCTAAGGTTCATCTGTTTAATGGAAAAAATTCTGAAAATATTTTTGGTAGTTTTCAGTTTGTAAAATGTATTTTCCAGAAAACATTTTTCTTATTTTGGTTTAATCAGTCGAAGAAAAATAGTTTCTTAGTGAATTGTTACAACTAATTAAAGAAGGGGGAATTCCTGAACAAATCAAACAAGAAAATTTTTATCATTAGTTTTCACAAAAGTAACTTGATATTGAAAAATGTTTTCAGTAGAAGATAGCTTCCAAGAAAAATATTTAATGTAAGGATATTTTCCTAAAATATATTTTTAGCTAAAAACATTTGCATAGAAAGTGATGCATTATTTTTAAAAAAATTATATTTTTTGATTTGTTCAGGAAAAGCGGCAGTCATTTTCCTATCCTTTTTTTTTTTTGGTATTGCATTTTCCCATTCTATACAATTGCCAAAGATAGCATTTTGCTTTGACTGTTAAACCTATTTTACTGAATATTTATTTTTGCATCAAACAAAGGAAAATGAATTTTAAAAATATTTTTCACACGAAGTAGCAGAGAATAAAGATGTTACCCAGAAAAATATCTTCTGTAACACAAAGGCACTATAAATAGCTAACTGCTAGTAGCAGTATCTGACTCAAGTTTCGCATACCGTGGTTCTTCCCCAACTCTTTTCAAAGTTGGATTTGTTGGTACTTTTTTTTTTTTTTTTATTTAGGTTAGGACCCACTCTGTGGGATTTAAAGAAAACACAATCAATTACAGAAGTATTCTGTTCAATAAGATTTTCCCCTTCAGAACATATGTGTGCATCACAGGAAGTTGTGAAAATAAATTAAGTTGAAATATAATGCCCATTTAGCACTCCCATTATTGTGTTAAACATATGGAGGCAGCATTAAGCTTTCAAAATTATCTCAACAGACCACATCAAAGAAAATTACTTCACAAAACATGCAGTTAATAATTTCTTAAGTTTAGAAAAAAGGCTATTAATCTTACCATTCCGTGAAACCTCTTTTACTCCCTAGGAGAATGAATGTGCCTGACTCACCAACGTAAAGGTTATCAGACTTCAGACCAAGGAGTTGCCGCAGCTGCCCCATGAGAACTTCAAAAAGCTTCTGGAGATCCTGTTTCGGAATATGCATGGTTCAATGTTAAGCAAGAGAATTAATGATAATCTACAACAGTAGGACTGTACGTATATCTGCATAAATAACTGGCATTAAATTCTTTATTTAAATGAAAAAAAAAAGTGCTTTTAAAAAGTTACTGAAATAAATTGCCTCAGAATGAAACTCTAAATTATTGGTTAAAAGTGAATCTAGGTTGAAAGTGTATCACTCATGAAATAAAAAGTTCCACGGCACTGGTTTACTTTAAACATAAATAATGAGAAGCAAGACAGTTAGCAAACTAACAAACAGTCAAATCAATGAGTAAAAGTAAAACCTGGGGAGAAATCATATGTCTCACTGGATCCTTACTTTCAAAATCCTTTATACAGCTATGGGGATTCCATACAACAACACCTCCCCACATCTGCAACATTCCAGAATAGACTTTTACAGTGTTAACCAATTTGGAAATTTAATAAGACATAATAAAATAAAAGGAATAAGTAAGTAAATTTTGAAGTTTGGAGGAACAACTGGTGATATAAAGCCATTAGTCTTAGAGATCTCTCCATTTGGAAGCTCCAGCTGAAGAGGACACTCCTTCGCAGATGGTATATATCTGACATAATACACAAGGAAGGTAGAAATGTAAGCTCTGTCTTACAGCATAACATAATTAACATGTTGAAATCAGACATTTGAGAGTACGTATATCAGTAGAGAGAAATAGATGGAGAAGTAATTTATTTCTTTTTACTGTTTTAACGCTAAGGCTATAAACAGTAAATTGAACAAACCAAATTCTATGCTTAGAATTATGCAGTCAAAAAGTAATTAGATGTAGGATTGAGTTGAAGTAATATACACCGCAAGTTGCAATACTTTTGACCTCCCACCTGCTGCAATTGAAGTATCCAAGTGCCACTCATTTGAATTCACCTGTTTGACATAGAAACATTCATGTCATTAATATATTACCATAGTATCACATATACAAGAAACATTGAATGAAATACGACCAGGAAAAGAAAAAGACAGAGCAGTGGGTTTCCTATGAACAAGGACTAAGGACTAACATAACTTGAGCCAATTTTATTTTATTTTTTAAAAAAAAAATAGAAAAGAAAAACCTTACACATAACTGGAAAGATAAGATAATGAAACTTCTGAATGATCAAAACATCATCTCATCATTTTCTAACAAAGGCACCATGCTAATATGTCAAGTGCTTCAGGCAGAAAGTTACATCATCATACAAGTTTGCAGCGTCACAAGTTAGAACTAAATACATGGTAATTCTATTCAAAATAAACTGTAAACTATAAATGATAAGTCAAAGCAATAAATAGAACATACAAAGAAAGGAAGATCCTTGGTACTAAATATATGGCTGCTATGCTCATCATCCCAGTAAGAAAACGAAGACTTTGGTGTGTGGTACAAAACCTGCCAATTAGAAGGAACAATAAAATCATTGGAAATCTAAAGTATAAAACGAGTCTTGTAATTGTTAGTTTGTTACATGTAGGAGACTTGACCTGGCTTTCGACAGTGATGTTTGCTATAGGTTGCAAAGCCTTAATGACAGGTTGCAACAAAGTCTCATCAATTTCATGAAAATTCCTACAACAAGATGATCACAGAAACTTCAAAATGATACTATTCAAAAAGACAACTACCCTAATATTCCGGACATGAAAGGGAAAGATGGATCTACATTGTTTATCCAGGAAAACAAAGGCAGCAGGGTTCAATGAATATCAAACAAATCAAGTATCAGAGAGATTAATTTTTGCCTTGAACCCAACCATAAAATTACCAAACTCTGCACAAGTTGAAGCATTTCTGTTCTCTTTCTATCCCAACTTACAAATTACACGAGCAGATAAATTCCAAGTACAGCACAACAAAAAACATATCTTCTATAATATAGAAACAAAACCAAATGTTGATCAGGACAATATTTCAATGGAAGTTTCATTTTAATAATTCATACCAATCATATATCCAATCTCGAGGGTCTGCATTGAGCAAACTGAAAGAAAGAACAATCTTCCCATCAGCACCAACAGGCATAAACTCGCCGCGAATCGCACCGACTTCATTCCCACCATTAACAAACACCTTAGCAAAGATCTCAGCCACACTCAACACTGCCTCCTCCTCCGAAACCCGCCCGAGAATCCACGCGTGCCGATACTTCCCCACCACAGCCCTCACCTCCTCCTCTCCATTCACCACCACAACACTATACACCTTCCCTCCACCATACTCACTCAGCACATTCTTCAGCAATTCATCAGCATCTTCGTCGCTGCCCCTCAACTTCCCGCCAAAATCAGCCGCGTTAACTTCGGAGCCCCAATCCAGGACGACGGAGACGGAGTAATTTCCGCCGCAATCGCCGCCGCACCGCGAATCGCCAGGGTTCAGTTCTAACATTTTCCTCCTAATTGCTGCCCCGACCTCGCCATGAGAAAACTTGAAATCAAAATTAACGAATATGGCTTGAAATTGGCACGGGAAGAATAGTGGATTCGATTCGAGTTGTGATGAAAAGGACTCGATTCGTTCGAAGGGGAGCGGGGCACGGTAGATTTCGATGGATTTCCAGAGAAGTGGGAAACCTGCAAAGAGCAAAAAGCACATCAAAATAGTTGAAGATGTGAAGAGAGAGAGTGTGAGTATGTGTGAGAGAGAGAGAGACCTAGGATGAATGAGATGAGCACAGTGATGCTGAGGACGAGGCGTTTGACACCGGGTTTAGTGTTTCGCATGGTTTTCGGGTCAAATTCAGAAATCTGGGTTTGTGGGTTTTCATCTGCGGGTTTTGAGTTTGATGGAGAATCTGAGATTTCCGCCATTGCAGCACCAATTGGTTGACGTTTTGCGAATTCGAATTCGCACGAGCTTCGTGACGATGCAGAAGAGTTTGAAGTTCACTTCAAACGAGAGTGAACATTAAAAGACTAGAAATTAAATATTGAAACTCTACTACAACCAAGCCGTCTTAGCTCAGCTGGTAGAGCGCGTGGCTTTTAACCACGTGGTCGTGGGTTCGATTCCCACAGACGGCGCAGTTGTCTTTTTTATCTTTTGTTTTTGTTCTTTTAATATGAGCTTGTGTAAGTCACTGAAGTCAGGTTCACTTGGTCCATTAATCTATTATCATTTATATAATTGTTTTTAAAACAATTTGTTATTTATACTTATTTTGATTATATTTCTATCATGGATTACATATTTATTTATTATTACTACTTAATAGAACTATTAAAAAAGGATGATTTTTATATGTGAATTTTTTTTTATTTTTTTATAAAAAAGTGTTTAGCTAAAAACTTAGTGCACCGGACTAGACAAAAACATTCCAAACTAATTGAGATGAGTTTGAATCGGTTTGATTTCTCAATCAAAACCAAAACAAACAATTCAATACTTCAAATTTTCTCAATCTCTCTTATTATTAGTTTTAGGGATTACTTTTCTCATGTAGCATGAGAGAAGTTCTCTTATGATAAGAGAGAAATAAAGTGAGTCCCACCAATTTTTAGAAAAAAAAAAATGGCACATTTTTCGAAGTGAGAGTGATATGAGAGATCAATCTCATGCCATATAAGAGTATGATTTCCCTTAGTTTTATACTAGTAGTAGAATTGGAGTGAGTTTTTTTTTTTTTAATGTGTTGTTAAAACTTAAAGAGGTTATATTTACCAAATGGTGGTAGCTCAGTTGGCGCATGGGAGTTGAGCAGGTGTGGAGAGAGCATGTGTTCGCATCCTCCCAGTACCACATTTGGGAGGGGTTTAAAGCCTTAATCCTGGATCCGCCCCGAATCGGATTAGTTGCGAAGCGGTAAACCGATTGGAATATTTCAAAAAAAAAAGAGGTTATATTTTTCTCGTGACCTGTTCATACTTTTGCATATAACTTAAGTGTTTGGTTGATAATTTAATAGAAACAACCTTGCTTCCAGTTGGACAGTGGATGGTGGTAGGGGTTGACACACATATAATAAGGCAAAAGATACTAACACTGAATGTCGACGAGTAAGAAAGAGATCAAGAGGAGAGGATGCACTAGCCACTATGATGGGTGAAGGTGTGAAGGAGCTTGTAGAAGTTGTTGGAAAATCTGCCGATAGGATGGGTGCTATGGCTGAAAGTGTTAAGGTAATGGCTGAAAGTGTTAAGGTAATGGCTGAAGGTGTGAAGGTTGTGAAAGACTTTTATGATGATTGAAGGGGTATTGCGGATGAATTAATGAAATCGGAAGACCTCACACCAAGAGAACACAATAAGGTGGGTATTTTACTTATGTCGAATCTTCCTCTAGTGCATTTATTTTTGGGGTTTAAAGGTGAACACATAGTGCAATTTGTGAAAGATTTGCTTGATCATAACTCTTGAAATTATTTGATAGAGTTGTAAAAAGCTCATAGACCTAGTTTTTGCTCATTTCATTTTGATCATATTATGTCCTGTATCTAAGAAAAATACTTGTATTTTGAATTGGGACCAGTTTGAACACATAATTGTGATTCTTGGTCATTATGCTATTTATTCGATCAAGTTTTTCTCTTGGTTGTTGCTTTTTTTTTTTTTATGCTTAAATTATAGTTAATCTTGCTTATAATCTACATTGAGGATGTTCACATAGTTACTGTCAATATAGAAGAAAAATATTGTTTTGTTATCCTTGTTAATTTAGCTGTTAGCTTGCTTTATTACATACACAGTATACGATACTTGAGTAAATTGTCTTGAATTAAATTTTTGTAATTAGAATCACCTTCTGTGAGTTACTCGCGCCAGTATCAACATTCAGTTTTCATTTACATTTAATTAAGAATATCTTCATCTATATAAACTCGCACCAGTATCAACATATAAACAAAAAAACGAAGAAAACAACAAAATTTTAAGATAATAAAAAAGGTCAAGGAGAAATAGTGTTTTACCTCATTTAAGTTAATATATATAGTATTCATGAATTTTTTTAAAAAAATATTGAAGATTTTTTATACAAAAAGATTATTTTATTTTTTGGACATACTGATGAATAGATTTTTATAAAAATTAATATCATATGACATATTTGGAAGAATCATATTAATTCTTTATTACAGGATATTTTTGTCAAAAAAAATTTATTTTTATCCTATCTAGTATTATTCAGTGCATTACCAAACACTGTATAGTATTATGTTATACAATACATCATCTTATACAATGTCATGCCAAACGTTGGATAATATTAAAATTTAATCAAAACTTATACAATCAGGTCTTATACTATCAGGTTTTATACTATCAGACCTTATCTTATGCAGTTTACCAAACATGCCCTCAGTTGTTGTAGTCACCACTCGATGAAACTCGGTTGGCATGCTGCGAAGAATTTTTTCAACCACCTTGTTATTTATTTGGTATCTTTTCTCCATATATTCTCATCTCATTGACAAAGTTAATAACACGATAAAAATATTGTTAAACACTTCCTGACAAAGTTAATACTTCAAAAACCATTTTATAAAGCTAGCCATTTTATAGGAAAAGTTAAAAATTAATACAGAACCAAATGTTGTTAAACAAATGATACAACAATGAAAGGCAACAAGGAGTGGGGTAATAGTGAGGGACTTAAATAATTTGCATTAAATTATACATTCGAAACTTAATACTATTATTATAACAAAGCAAACGAAATGATTCATCTCTAGCTAACTGAAATATCCGGCCATTCAGGAAAAAAGAAAACAGAAAAGTGAATAGAAAGAAGGAAATCACAGATTATTTCAATGTCCTACATTTCATCAAACAGGTTGTGGGCAGGACTCTATCCAATGAGTTTTGGACTCTTTGAACTAAATGCACCTGAAATAAAAATAAAAAAACAAAAAAAAACATTTTATAATAAACCTATAAATGAAGTTACAAGTACAGAATTAGAACAAAGAAGGAAAAATAAATTAGACAAGAAGCAGTGAGATTAAAAATGGAAACGTAGCGCTTAATTATACGTGAGGTACCTCATTTAACTTATAAGTGATTGCCCCCATTTTGAATGACGAAACTCATATTCATCTAAGATTGTGGGATTTTTTGTTTGGGTTACCGAACTCGGTGAAAGAATTTTTGTTCCATATTTCTGTTAGGATCATAATAGGATTCAGGTGCTCCTCGAAAACGAGCAAGCTCTAGTTTACAACCATTCTTCAACTCCACATTTTGGAGGCTGTTTTCCAATTTTTCGGTGGGCCTGCCTACACACACATGTCGTAAGCTAGTCAAGGACCAGAGTTCTTCGGGAAGCTCATCCAAGAAGGAGCACCCACTGATGAGCATATATTGAAGATTAGGCATTGCACCTTTCTCTAATCTCCACTTTTTGGCTTCCATTTCCCTCATCTGAAACACTCGAAGCCGTGGGAACTCTCCAGCGGCAATAATAATGTCAGAAAGACCAACAAAATATTTTAGTTTCAGAATTTGGAGGTTGGCAAGCCGTCCTAGAGTCTTCATGATATCCTTGTTGCCGTCTATAACTGTAGATTGCAATGTTATCTTCACAATATTTGATGGAAACTCCAATGGAAGATGTTCAAAGCCGATTAATTTTATGGAACGGAGATTGGTTAGGCTTGACAGCTCTCTACACCTTCCCATTCCCATAGGAAGACGACTCCATCTTCCCCGGATAAGTGGTAGTGTCAAATGTAGCATTTCTAGATTCCGAAGGCTGCATATAGAAGCTGGAATATCTCTTACATCTGTATCTACTTTCAAGTATCTCAGATGGATCATCATCTTCAAACCAATGCTTAGTGAAGAAAACAACGATGCTTCGGCATATAGCACGCGAGCCAACTTGAAGTTCTTCATAACATGATCATGACCAGAATGAGGGAATTTCCCTGTAGTAAAGAAGAACAAGGAACGAGTGGATGATTGATTAAATTTGTCAAAAGAGAGATAAGATTGTGCTCTCCCGTGCAAGGACAATCTATGGGGACTGCTCAGTGTATCCATGTTCGCCCCTGTGGAAACCTCCAATAACCCATTGGATTTGCTCTCGGATATGCAGAGGTCACGGAGAAGATCATGAATCTGACATGTTTTTACACCTCCATCAATCCTCCTCCTTACCACTTTCACCAAGCTACGATCCACCAGCTCATCCAAGTAGTATTCAGCAATGTCTTCTACTTGTGGTGGATTTGGGTATCCAATTTCTTTTGGTTGTATGAATCCTTCGGCTATCCATAATTCCATCAATTTGTTTGCACGGATCTCATAGTCTTCAGGGTAGATTGCAAAATACAGAAAGCATGGCTTTAATCTTCGAGGCAAGTTGTCATAGCTAAGCTTTAATATATCCATCACTTCAGTCTTATCTTGAGTTAGATGCCAACTGATTTTCTTCAATCTCGACCACTCTCTTTCTGATCTCTCTTTCTTTCGAACCAATCCTGCTAAGACGACTATGCCAAGTGGCAAACCCCCACAACTTTCAGCAATTGACCTACCCAGATGCTCTAGATCAGAAGGACACTCTTCACCTTGAAACACCTTCTTGGAAAAGAGTTCCCAACTTTGTTCTTTATTGAGCAATGGAAGGTTATAGGGAGGGGTTGTTCCACAATAAGAAGTCACCTCCTTTATACGACTAGTTATCAGTATTCTGCTACGGTTTTTGTCATCTGGAAAGACACCTTTTATGTCATCCCAAACTTGAGTTTTCCAAATGTCATCAAGCACTATTAGATACCTCTTTCCCTTCAAGCATTCTCTCACCATCATCTTCAATTCCTCTTCATTTAAATTATTATATTCCGATGAAGACGATTGGAAACACTTGAAAAGGCTAAGCAAGAGCTCCATGGGTCTGTAATCATTAGACACGTCACCCCAAGCGCGGCAACGAAACAACTCCTTCACCTTATTGTTGTTGTAGATCTTTCTTGCAAGTGTGGTCTTGCCCAACCCACCCATACCAATTATGGGAACAACATTAAGACGCGAATCCGTTTCCATGAGCTGTGTAATTACAACATTGCTGTCTTGAACTAATCCCACCACATGCTCTTCCTCCACATCCTTCCTCCTTTTACGGAGTGATTCTGTAACTTGTTGTTCTTCTCCTTCTTCTTCACTTTTAAATTCTCCTTCTCCAATGCCGTATCTCTCCTTATTCGTATAAATTTGAACAATATAGCTCTTGATCTTCTCTATCTGAGCATTGATGTCATGAAACTTCATCATGTGTGGCGGGAAATGGAATAACTTTTGAAATACATTTCTGCTTCTGTGTTTGGTGACATTGGTAATGTAGGTGTCAATCACATCCTCAACTTTATGGGCAACATCTCTTATTTCGCTCACCAATAGTTTTCACACAATCGTCGTTGCGCTTCCCCTCAGAGCTCTTGAGAAATAAGTCAATAAACTTAAGCTCATTGGTAAGGGAATTGATTTTGTCTTCTACCCCAGAAAGTAACTTAAATTCATCCTCAAGAAGCTGTGGCAAGTTCTGCAGCAAGAGGCGAACAACAAGATCGGCCATTTCTATGCAAGAGGGGTTAGTTGACCACAAACTCAAGGGACAGAGAACAAGATACAGGAAGATGATTGTTGTCCTGAATAGCTGCTGATCAGCATTTTTTATAAGCAAATTAGCATTTTATTTTTCTTGTGTAATTAGCCAAGATTAATACACCAATCATTTAGTCAATCCTATCTCTTATACTATCTAACAACTGCACCTAAGAATTAGTTATCAATCAGCATCTTTCTTTAGCAAATCAACATTTTTATTTTTCTTACCTAATTAGCCTAAAATAATAGCAAGTTGATAGCAGAAGTTAGTGTTGATTTTTTTCTTACCTAATTAGCCTAAAATAATAGCAAGTTGATAGCATAAGTTAGTGTTTATTTTACACATTAACAAGGTTATAAAAAGCTGCACTATTGTAAGAGGTATTTTGTTGGGAATGGTATTGGGGTGCCCAAAACCATTCTAAGGGATATATCAACCCATGAGTCAAATGACAAACCACAATAAGTGGTCCGATACTACATCTCAACTCAAAACTTTAAGGCTCAAGTTGTATGGGTCTTTTTTGCACTTACACTTGAATATTTCTAACATCCTCCCTTCAAGTGTGAGGCCCAACATCATATTCCCTTTTTGTGAGCAACTTCTGCAGAAATCTTTTTTTTTTCAAGTATTGGAGTCACACTAGTCTTCTGCAGAGGTCTTGAAACATCACCATCTTCAAATACCCGACCCAGCCACACCATTGGCTATGATATCACTATTAGGAACGGTTCTGGGGTGCCCAAAACCCTTACAAGGGATAAATCCACCTATGGGCCAAATGACAAACTACAATAAATGAACCGACATCACAGCTCAACCTAAAACCTTAAGGCTTAAGTTGTATGGGTCTTTTTTACACTTATATGATCCTCATTTGGTTCATGTTTAACTGATGTGAGATTTTGTTATTACTCACACTTGAATATTTCTAACAGTATTGCTAATGGTTGTATAAGATTTGTTCACTAGTGATTTGGAGGAATTCCATTAAAATGCAGAACTACTTGAAAAAATGTATATAATAGGGCAAAATATGAACATCCGTTCGATGCTACCACAGTGCCAAATAATTTAAAAAATTCATAACCAATATAAAAGGATAGTATGATGGAAACCATCCACCCATTTGAATTTGACAACGTAATATATACATGTAAAATATGCAGACATAAAGAAAGTTGCATTGCTGAAAATTGTATTGCAAGTGGTTGTATAAAATTTGGAAAGTCTACATCAATCAGTTTTACACTAGTAGGTGTGGTGACCTTAAGCAATGAAGTTGCCGGATGATAGTTTTTTTATTTTTTTATTTCAATCGGTTCATCAATTATCAGTTCAATCACTATCAAATTCATATAAGGGACAGCTACCTCGAGACCATTTTTTCTACTCTCGTGACTGGAATTCAATAACTTTGATTAAGTAGAACAAATTTCTTACCACTTGAACCAATGGTTATGTTCACTAGTAATTCACTAATTTGGAGGTATTCCATTAATAATATGGAAAGTATCCAAAAAAAAAAATGTAGTAAAGCAACATAAAAATCCACTCAATGATACCTCAGTACCAAAATTTATTTTAAAAGATCATAACCAATACTATTGGGTAAGTGGCATCTTATTCGGATGCTAAACAAAATCCTAGAGATAGGGTGAATAGATGCTATTGTGTTTTTCAAAATCTCTTTCTTAAATGGACTTGAGCTTTGGACAAAGTAGGAAATAGTGAACTTTACATTTCTAAACAGCACCAACTCAACTTAGACCGCTAACCTTTTATAAGCAAGAGGGGTCAGTTGAGCACAAACTCAAGGGATTGGGAACAAGATACAGGAATATAATTGCTGTCCCTGAATAGCTAGTTGTCTGATAAGCATTTTTTATAAGCAAACCAGCATTTTATTTAGCTTATGTAATTAGACAAAATTAATAGATAGTTGATTACTAAGATTTGATATTTCCACTTTCCAACTATCATTTAGTCAAGCCTATAACACCTACACCTCAGAATTAGCTGTTAATGAAGTTATTGTTTATTTTACACATTGATAAGTTATATATAAATATAATGGGAAAAGTTATATTTACAAATTTTTTGTTTATAAACTCTTACAAAGTATTCGGTCATACTTCAATCAAAAGTGTCATAATGTAATTTGTAAAAAAAATTTGTAAATGAATCATTCTCTAAGTATAATAGATCTATACATAAAGAAAGTTGTATTATTGTAAGTGGTATTGCAAGTGGTTACGTATAAAAATCTGGAAAGCCTGAACCATTCCTTTTTATCCAAGGAAGTAGGCGCTTAGTACAGGAGAAATTCTTATTTGTCCGAGAATCTCGATTTTCAAAAATATGATTTTTACAATAAGTTTACAAAAATATTCACAAATTTTAAATTTAGAAAAATTCAGTTTCCCAGAATTCTCGGAGAATCCCGCGTACCAAACGCCGCCTTAGTGATTTGGAGGGATTCCATTGATAAACAGCCGAACTAGTGAAAAAATACGTATATTAGAGCAAAATATTAACATCCATTCAATGGTATCAAATTCCAAATATCGTAAAAAATTAATAACCAATATAAAAGGATATCATGATGGAAACCATCCACTCATTAAGATTGTATTATAATCTTCAGCACTGTGTTTCTGAACAGTCCAATAAACCAGAACTTGCCTGTTAGACATAAGAGCCTGAAGCATATATTTTTGCACCAACAGCAGCTTCTTAAAGCTATGCTGTACCATTAAAAAGCATAGCAACATAACTGAACAGCATGAGAAATTGCCAAAGATAACCAGTAAATATGGGGAAACATACAAGATCTATATAAGGCCACCTAATGGTTTTCATAGGATGATATCATCATAATTCTTTTACGCACTCATAGAAGGGTCTTAACTCATATTTAATTCTTGAATGCTAATTCAGAGAGGTTTCCCGTCTCTATGTCAAGGATTAACCCATTTAGCCAAACTATATATCTTTCTATATATATATGTGTTATCCAAACTTCATGGCGTCACATCCTTAGATACGCATAAAGAGCTCCCAATATTTAAAAAAAAAGAAAAAAGAGTTAAACCGTTCCAAAATGAGCTTTTTAATCTTGATTCTGGAATGAAAAAGTTCCCAAACATTTTGTTTTTCTCTCACCCACTTTACAAAGTAACAATTACAGCAACAGAATATTAAATGGTAACTGATTTCTCGCTCTTACGAGGGCAAAGAATAAGAAAAATCGATTATTAACTACCAAATAAATGATAATGTACTGAACCTTTTGCTTACAATTGAAATGAGAACATTGATCAGTTCAAAGGCAACACACTTTGGAAGAATGAAAATCAAAACTACAAAAGACAAGACTTTGAGGGACCGCCCATGAGCTTTAACCTATCTTCGATAGCTCTGCTACCACACTTTATTTTATTTTATTTTAATTAAATGACAATTTTAAGAGGATATTAATATGGAAACCATCCTCCAAATTTTCCCACATAATCCATATCCAAAGCTACGCGCATGACAACCTTTCCGGAATTTTTTTTTTTTTTTAATTTTTGTTCCTGTGAACAGAAATGGATAGAAAACTCGTTTGGTAAAACAGGTTTATTTTTTTGTTCCTGAGAAGAACCGAATTAATTTTTGTGTTGAGGAACAGAAAAAGAATCAGAAAATTTTTGTTTTTTTGTTTCCGGGCACAAAATGAGAAACACTTATCTCTCTTAATCACTCTCCATCTCTACCATCATCATCACCACCACCATCATCCCAACACGACCACCGCCATCATCGTCGTCGTCGCTGTCGTGACCACCCCCACCCCCATCACCATGATGCCACCGCAACCATCACCACCACCTCCACCCATCACTATCACCATGCCACCATCACCACCACCACAACTATTACCGCTGCAACCACCACCACCATCATCGCAACCACTGCCTCCACCGCCATCATCACCATTACCAAGCCACTGCCACCACCACCATCGCCACCACCACCACCACCACAACGTCACTACTACCTTCACCACCACTGTCACCAACCACCACTATCATTGTTGCAGCCACCACCGACACCGTCACCGCTGCCACCAACCACCACCACCATCGTCACAGCCACTATTGTCACCACCACCACCTCCGCCACTACCATCACCACCACCGCCATCGCCACCGTCGTAGCCACTGCCACCACCACCACCACCTCCATGAAGCCATCACAACCACCACCACCACCACCATGCCACCGCTGCCATTGTCGCCGCCACCAACCACATATGCCACCAACCACCATCCCCACCACCATTGTCTCAGCCACTGCCGTCACCACCACCACCTCCACCACTATGCCGCTGTTGTCACCATTACCACTGCCGTCGCCGCAACCACTACCGTTACAACCACCACCACTATCATCACCATGTCACTGCCGCCACAACCACCATGCCACCCCCTGCCGCCACGACCACCACCACAATCACACCATATGGAAAGAAAAGTGACGATCCGAATTTTTTTTATATTTAATAGGAATTATTTTTTATTATATTATTTATTGTGTTATCAAACGCAATTCTCATTCTTGGTATAAAAATAAAACATGTTATCAAACACATTTTTTTCTCAGAAACCGTTCCAAGAAACAGAAATAGAAAAGAATTGTTTCTTTTCAGAAATAGTACTAGGAAATAGAATGGTTGTCATGCACACCCTAAGTGTCTGTTTGACAACTTTTTTTTTAAGTTAACAGTAACTTTTATGTTAAAAAAAAGAAAGATTAAAATATAGGATTTATTATTTCTTCTCTCACGTGGAATAAATTTATTTCCAACAATCTAAAAAATTATGTCGTTTTGAGAGTTGGAGAAATTAATGAAGTTAATTTAATAAAATTCATATAATAAAGAAACTAACCAAATTTCTAAAATATCATTCATTAGTTTTCTC